TTGTTTAATATGAATTCTCTTCATCATTTGTGAATGCTCCTTTTTATTTCTTCTAAAATACAACCTGACTTATCTTCTTCAGCACCTTGTATGGTGCTGAAGAAGATAGTACCCACGTCTTCGGCATTCGCGGCCTGACTTTCTAGCCACTGAGCCAAACGGCTGATTGTCATACCGACGAAAATCTTAACGTCTTTTTCTACATTGTTTCTTAGCATTTGAAGCAATGCATGGCGCATCCATTGTTATATCCTTCCATCATACAAACAATTTCGAATATCGTTTTACAACGATAATTCTAACGAGAGATGTCGCCATTGCTGTTTAGAAATTTAAATTGTTTATAGTGTTAATCTTTGCACTTAAGATTGAACATTAACAAGTGGCAATCAGCCGTTTGACTCAGTGGCTAAAGCGCCAGACCGCGAATGTCGAAGACGTGGGTTCGATTCCCACAGCGGCGACAATCTTTTCGTACTTTTTCTACATATTTTAATGTTCAATCTTAAGTGCAAAGATTAGCGCTATAAACAATTTTAATTTCTAAAAACCAATGGCGACATCTCTGAAAGCAATGAAAATAGACAATATTGTGACAAGACTATATATAGTTCTAATATTTCAATGGAATACGTTGCTATTTTTTTTTGATAAATTATCAATCTATCGAGTCATTGAACAACTTATTGTAAATATGAATTCAAAAGTGATTTCTGAAATGATATAAAATTTGTTTCGAAGTTTATTGTATATGTACACAATGAAATTTTTGTTAAGTTATAATGTAAGATGTACACGAAATAGAAAATTTGATTGCAGAAGTCAGCAATGAGTTTTCGGGCTATTGAAACTTGCTATTTAATGTTAGATTTATTATAACAATGTCTAACTGTCTCAAGACACCCTATTATAAATTACAGCTTCTACCCACCCCCAAACTCTTAAACATTCACCCAGTAAACTAACTAACTACCCAATGACCCATATAAGACTTGGTTCATAATTTGAGGTATTTGCCTATCACGCTGTGGTCAATTATCAGCAAAATTATTACTTTGTCTAATCATACTTGCTAAATGAGGTTATGATCCAGACTTTGGGCAAATTATAACAAATATATTATAACACAAATTTTTGTACAAAGAAGTGTAAAATTTTTGTGTTTCTGGAGTTCCACCTCAGTGAAAAGTTGCCAAACGAGCAGACCGTTCACCTGGTGTTAAGTGAATACCGCCGTCCATGGACATGTGCTACAAGCAAGGGTTGCAGATGCATTGACAACCTTTTGAAAATTGGGCTCCGGCCACCTCACTCACCAGACGAAACGCGAAAGTATGATACTTCTACTTTAAGCCGGTCTTCTGTGAGGTCGTGGTACTTACCCGGGTGAGCCTGCCCATTTGTGCAACAGCCGAGGCTGCTGCGTGGCCCTACCACCGTCAAGTCCATAGCAAGAATGAGCTACATTCTTTATGTAAAAATGCTAAGGAATTCTATATTTGTTCTGGAAATAAAATTGTACATGTTTTTCCACAACAACAATTTCGTTTCAGCAAGTGTAACTAAAGAGTTGATGTTTCAACTAAAATAAATCCATCTCACTTCTAACTTAAATTAATTCAATGGTAAAAATCAATTTGAACACATAATATAATATTCCAAATACTTTGAAGTGTTATGAAGGGTATCTATGGAATAACTTTTGAAAAAATTGAGAACATAAGTTTATTTTTAATAATTAACACCTAATAATTTATTTAACAAGTAATTCTACAATGTTTTAAGGATCATTTTAGCGATTATTTAGAAACATTTTTTGAGATAAGCAACAAAACAACATTAAAATTATGACTGTAAGTTAGTCACTCTATGAGATATTGAAATATCGCCATTGCAAGCATTTTTTATGAGAATTACACCAACTTTTATAATAAAGTGATTCAAAATTTGTTTTCTGTTACAATATATGGAAACATTATTGCTTACTTTTTAATTGTTATTAAGTAAATGTCATATCTACAACATGTATTTGTTAAAATGTCCACTTGTACTTTATAATAAGTTGTATCTCTAGTTGTTAGTTGCTTGGAGGATTATTAGATCATATTCAGATGTAACCTTATTTCATCTATACTTCTTTTCAATATATTGTTTAATGACTTTTCTATTTAAGGTTCATATGACATCATATGGTCGGGAAAATGAGGTGACCATGCTATGGAATAGTTAACATTGCTTATTGTGACTAAAATGAATTTTCTGTCTTTTACAGAGAAGTAAGAGTGCAAATTCTTGCACCCTTACTTACTACATCTATTCAGATGCAGAAGTTTTTTCACTCTTATAGATCTATTAAAAGATAAGGAAAGAAATTAAAAAAAAAACAGCATAAATTTTAAGTAGATGATAAAAAAATGTGTAAGTTGAGTTAGTAAGGCATCATAATCTGCAATATTAGGTTCTTCTATATGTATTATTTCTACACTTACAACTTTCCTTAAAAGTGTTTGCTTGTTTTGGAGCACTTTCAATATTTAACAATTACACATATAAATATCAAATATTGTGAATAGCAATAGACACATGAAACACATAAAATTTTTTATTCTATCATGTTTTAACCAGGAGTAATTACAAGAACTGGAATCTTGTAATGACTTTTATATTTGTTTGCCAGTCATTGTGCTTTTAAATATCTCTATATGCAAAATCAATGAAAAAAAGTCAATGGCTATCCTTTTCAATAAAATTAATAGCACAGTAAAAACTGTAAAATTCAAATTTAGTTTCATGCTTTTAGTTCTCATGCCATTACTGTTTTAAATTTTTCCAAATTGATCATATCACATACAATATTATTATTGAATTTTTTTCTTGTCCAATATGACCATATTAAACTTTATCTATAAATAATCAAACTTTTGTACTCATTAAGTTGGGATCGAGGACTTAAAACTTTGATACAAATTTATGCCCAAATTATACATTCCATGTAGTTAAATAAGTTGTAACTAAATTTTATGTAACTTAATCTTGTAATTAATTAATCTTAATCTGTGAATTAACTGACCATAAGTACTTAACACTAAAATTTACTCAGATTTGCTTAAGACGGACAACAATATAGTGTAAAAGTAGTTAAATCAGTAATTTAATTTGTATTATAAAAGATTTTAACAATGAAATGGAAGAAATGTCTGTGGAAGTTAGAGATCCACAAAAAATCCAATAATGCTCAATTTACGCATGTTAAGAAGTTAACTAAAGTAACTAGTCCATAAACACTAAACAACAGAATTTAGATCACACTAGGATTTAGAACCTAAAAAAAATCCCATATGGCAAACTAAGTTATGCGCCAAATAAATTTTGAATAAAGAGTGCATGTCCAAAGTGATTTCCCCATCAACTTAATGGAAAAAAAAACAAATTCTTTTTTAATTGGTTAGTTGTACACTAAATTTTAACTTGCAACTTCTTACTTAACAGACTGTTTATGCAAAAATAAAAAATATATTTAGTAAACTACAAATAAATACATATCAGTATATTAGAGATATCTGGTTATTTTAAATAACTTTTCAACTTTTAGAACAAGTTAAACCATAACTACTATACGGTCTGTGAATATAATAAATAGATTAGTTAAATATAATTGAACTAATGCTTCATCATTAGTTATATTAATATTAAAATATAAAACATTACTTAACTCTATTATTTGTTACATACATTTGTTACATTTTTTAGATTATACAACATTCTAGTTATAATTATAATAAGCTTGCATAAATCCAAGATATTTAGTTAAAAGTGCATAAAAATAACTTTAACAAATTTATATATTCCCAAACAGCAGACTGAATATTAAAAAAATATATATATACACTTCATTACACCATCAACAGATTTCCACAGATGGCACTGGAGCCAGGAGCGCACATGATTGAAAGTTATTACTGTTGCTGAAGTTTTAAGTGCAAATCAAACCGTAAAGAGGATGGCTGTGATATTATTCTCCAATGTCAATTTATTTTATTTGTTGTGTACTTTATCCCTTTTTCCAAATGCAAGATCCAGTACAATTAGTTGTGTATATTATACAAAACCTTGTCCTGAATGGGAATCGAAACTACGAACCACCACAGCACCAAATCTTATGGTTTACATTTAATTAAAATGTAAAATAAATGTAATTCTGTGCATAATATTTTAGATGGAATGAGTATTATTACCAATATGTTTAAAATGTTCTGTGATTTCTGTGAAATTATTAGTGAGTATAGTTTTCATAAAGCCTTAGTGTACTTTAAAGGAGTTATATGCAGTTTACTTTCCCTTACCATTAATTTAAACAACCCATAGTCAAAAATGTAATAGATAGAGAATAGCAACAAATATATAATATATAAATTATAGACAATGGTTATATTCAAAACTTTTCCTAGCATGGTATGCCTTCTATAATGGGGACATCATTCACTGTATTTTACTTATAAGTAAAAGTTAGCAATGTAATGAAATTAACATTTTAAGATCTACTTTAATGAATATACTACTATATTGATTGTTTTTGTGTTTTGAATATGTATATTTTGGTATTATTATAAGTACATATTTCTTCATATATTAAAATATAGTTATGAAAATAATCACTTGCAAATAATAATAAAATTAGTCTTAATAAGATAACATTTGGCCTAAATTATAAAAGAGACAAGGAGATAAAGAAGGCATGAGACATGTAGTAATAGGTTGGTTGAAATGGTTGGCGCGTAATTTACGCTATAGCAACTACATTCGGACATAGAAGCGAATCACAACTTCCGTATTAGGATGCAATTGTGACTCATTAGTAATTACTTAAAAGTTAATAACATGGAACAAACAATAAAAGTTATAAAGATGGTTCAAAAATTTCAAAACGAAATCTTTTACACAAGGAATAAATATTTTGAATAAATGTTAAACTTTTTAAAAGTATGTATTGTTATTCATACCTGAGTATCTGTTGATAAGTTCTCCGCGCTAGCACTCACGGACATTCTACTCACTTAAATGGTCAACGATATTAGCGAAAAGAAAAAGAAAAGTAAATTACAAACTTTACTTAACTCTCATAATTTTGTTTACGTGAGGTTTCTAGTCGCTGGGCGTTTACGAACGTTACGCTTGACACAGCACAACAGTTGTGAGTTTTGTAATTAGTGTTGCAACTTCAAATTTAAACTGTTCGCGCTTAGAGAAACGTCAAGATTTTTTATATAATAGGTCATACACCTTTGGGGTTATATATCTATAAATTATTATACACCATGTTATATACAACACAATTTTGCTTTAAATGTAAAGCACTACTTTTAGTTTACTTACAATAAAGAAATAAGTGACAAATTTAATTATGGTGTATTTTTAATTATGACAAAACTTTTATGTTCATCAAATAATTGTTCGAGTAATTGTTATTCATTGTATAATACAAACTACAGAACTCGAGAAAATGATCAATTAACCTTTCTGAAACAGTGGTCTGTAGTGTCGCCATTAAGAAACAATAACAACATGAGGTAAATTGTTTAAAAACGGATTGATACACCTGTACATTGTGAGCAATTTATGTCTTATCTATGGTCTCGCGTTTGTCGGCGAACGTGCTGTGCTTGATGTCTACGTTTGTAAGAGAATGCGGTGTGCGTGCACCATGATAAACGCGGTGTCTTGCAGTCGTTTGAGCTTCTATCGCCACGTCGCCGTCTCGGAAGTACGGTTCAACGTCATTATGAAATCACTAAAATACTACCTTTTATAAAACCGTAATAGACTAATATATTACATGAGTCTATTAATATTTTATGAAAGGTCGCTAACTGTTGATAGTCTACTTACTGCAGTATTTTCTACAACAAGGGTGCGAATTATTGAATCAATTTTAAAAACCAAGTTATTATCATTCATCTTAAAAAAATCAATTAAACAAAATATTTGTAATAAAACGTTAAATATCTATTACATTAACACCTAAATTATACCAAACCACATTTCTGAACTCGAATCGTCAAATTCTTTGTACATATTTACGAAACTTTATCTCTGAAATTGTCTCTTAATTCTACGTTTTTTTTAATTAAGTGGTTTTGAGTTGTTAATGCGATACGCAGTTGTGTACTACCCTATGCAGTTGAAACGTGTTGAGTGGCGGAGCAACAGAGCAGATCCCCCGCTGTGGGCTGGGAGGTTTGTTGCTTATCAGCAATAACGCTATGGCCTCATATTACCTCCTGTCAGAAGTACTCCCCCGAGTTCTCACTACTCATATAAGAGTGTGGCGGATTAAAACATCCGCCGCGTCTAATTTAAATTTAGCGCGCAATAAGCGCGCGACTCGCGCTTTGCAATCGAGTCGCCTCCGATTGGTCGGTGACCGGGGACTTCCCTCTGCCTCCACACTCGCCGCTTAGAACACAACGGTCGACTTGTCTTTATTAACAATAAGATTATTTTAAGGGTGAAAATATTGTGAAATCATGTAAAAATCTTTCCGATCAATATAATTAACAGTGAGCACATTCCTGCTTTTTATTTAATGGCATTCCGCACGTTTCATGCCATAAGAGGTTAGAACTCTTTTTACCTTGATCTTAATATTTTAAATATTACTGAACTTGAACAGTAACAACTATTATATCGACAAGCAGCACTAGTGGTTATATCACAGCCTGGGAACGCAGCCGAAATCCAAGTGACCACTGCTCCATGCGACTGTGTCCCTTGGCTCTAGTAGATTACGTCATATCCGGTATACAGTGTTGCCAGCGCCAGCACTCACAACTCTATCAACTCCCCTTCATGGCCCCTTTTGTGCAACAGGTACGCTGAATTTACCAGCGTGCCGTACCTGGAGGAGTGGGGAGTTTTCTAAAAAGGGGTTGCTGTAGCAGCCAGCGCTTGTAAAGTCGTGGTAGTGCGAAAGCGTTTCCGTGGCCCTGCCGAGGCGTCCCAGGTGAAACATCTTGACGATTTAGAAGGTGCGACTCTAATATAACATTTTCTTGCTCCCGCGCGGCTAGTATGCGTAGGCATTTTCCCCACATTAAAAAATGAGGGATAAAGTGTCGGGATATATCTGCGCAAATCAATAGGATACAAAATTGCAATAGGCTCCTCATGGCTCTCCTCGTATCTTTATTTTGCCCTAGCAGAATTTTTGTTTCCATAACTGGATGTCAAAAGTCTAAAGATGATGAAGGAGTAATATACTTTGCTCATTCTTATAATTTCGCCAATTTTAAAATGGCTCCCCAAGGAGCTATTAGATCTGGCAAAAATATAAAAAAGTGTTTTAAAAATAAATGTTCTGTCTTGTTAAATCAGGTTCTCTAAAGCATATTGAGTCTGCAGATCTTACCGTTTTATCTTTAAAGGAATTATAATATCGACGCTGGTGATTATCTTATTTTAATGAATTCTGTTAATTATGTGGTTTTTTTCTTCTTCAAAGTCTCTAGCTTAAAACTCCTAAAAATAGTTCCATTTTTAAACAGCCCCTCCAAGGAGACTCCTTAAAGATGCGTCTAATATAGATTTTACTCCCTTGCACTGGCTTCTACGATTGAAGAGAAAAGATATTCTCAATAATATAATAGGTTGTGGAAAAAGTTTCATTGCACTTTACATGAAAATTCAAAACATTTTTTAATAAAGTTTATTTACATTTAACTAAAGTATGTAGGTTACATTTTATTCGATAACTTTCTGCTATCTTATAGGTAGGGACATGATCCCATTGCTATAAAAATTCTGGGGCTTCTGATCAATAAAACCGCGACAAGTGGTTTTGGCAGTCCTCTCGTGATGTTAACCTGACACTGCCTAAAGAATTCTGAAGAGATCGAAACAAGTGGAAATCTAAAGGTGCAAGGTCAGGACTATACGGCAAATGCATTAACACCTCCCAGTCTCTTTTAATTTTTGCTGAGTGGCTAAAGATGTGTGAGGTCTTACGGTGGTAGGGTCACGCAGCAGCCCCGGCTGTTGCACGAATGGGCAGGCTCGTCCGGGTAAGTACCGTGGTACTCTGTGTACGCCGGTTTTAAAAGACCGGCGTAAAGTGGAAGTATAATACTTTCACGTTTCGTCTGGTGAGTGAGGTGGCCGGAGCCCAATTTTCAAAGCGTTGTCAACGCATCTGCAACCTTCGGCTGTAGCAGATGCCCATGGACGGCGGTGCTTGCTTGGCAACTTTTCCCATAAAAAAAAGGTCTTGCGAGATAACCCGGGTTTTGCCAGAGTCTGTGAAGCCTGACCAGCCTTTGACCAGGACCTTTCCGCACGTTCTTTTCGTACGTTATCCACTTTTCATAACATGGTTCGATTTCTATACGTCGTAATAAAGAATCACAAATTAGTGCACGGTTCATTAGGTTTCTTTCAGTGAGGCACACAAATTTTTTGTGATCAGCTTTTTTGTGTATCCAGTTTTTTTCAAATGCGCCCAGTGGTTAATTCCCAGTTCTTCAGCTACATCGAAACTACTGATATGCCGATCTTGCTCCACTTTTACAAAAATGGCATCCATTTTATCCGTAACGGACCCAGAACGGACGGGAGCCCAGAACGAGGTGCATCTTTAACATCAAAATTTCCGGATTGGAAACGCTTAAACCAAATTTCTGCGTTTCGTCTGGTGTGTGAGGTATCCGGGACCTATTTATTAAAAGGTTGCGACGTATCTGCAACCCCTGCAAGGTGTTGCAAATGTCGGCTGCGGCGGCGGTTTTAACATGATATCAGGTGAACCGTCAGCAAGCTTGCTAAGTTCTCGCATAAAAAAATATAACAGTAAAGTTTGATTTATGATAAATCTATACTCATATATCATATACCTATATGAGTGCACACTGTGGCTAAAAACTTTGATTGAGTTTTGACAAGGGTGTTATTAAAATTTAGACGTAGCCGGATAGTTGTCGATACGTTGGCAACGTTTCGTGGATTCGTTAATTAAAACTTTCCATTTTTCAGTTATTTTAGGAGTGTTATTTTATCCAATATTGGTTTCCTTCAACTATCGTATAAAAAGACATCGCAGATTTCGTTGTTTTCAAAGAGAATAATTATATGAAATGAACCTTCCAAACTGAGTTACGTCGGTAAATTTTTAATATTTGGCGTCAATTTAGCGAGGTTTGATCTGAAATCTCCTCGTTTAATTTTTTCCAGTTTGTTGGTTACCACGCTGAAATCTTTTTTTCTATAAATATTCACGGAAAAGCAATCAAATACATTCTCGCGACAGGCATATCCTTTTATAGCCAGAATAGCTGATATCCGTTTCTAAAATGTACCTACAATTTCTCTTTAGGTCCGATCAGTTGGGTATAATATGACATCTGTTTCTTCAACTTTATCATATGGATGAATAATTGTGGTATTACCTAAAAATCCTGTAACCTTGATTCAAAATCTGAATATAACATATAAATGTTAAACGTAAGTATTTAATTAATGTATCCATCAGTGTGACCATTTTGTATTGATATTTTAATTTCAATAATTTTATTGCAATTTGTAAGTAAATTAAAATTGGCTTAATAGAAATTCTTTTTGAAAACAAAATCAATACACGGTGGTCAGATTAATTCACAGGAACAGAATATATTTAAATATTTCCCCTATTGCACCCAAAAGCCAACTTTAATTTTTAAAGCTTCTACTACAAATTAGCTAAATTAAAAATTCAAATTCTTACAGGTCTGTCACTTTCAATGATGGCTGAATGTCAGATTTAAATGTTAAAAGAAAAGGTTGTTAGAATTCAAAAATGAATAAGACAGCATCCTAAATCACTGCGACTGGTCTGTAAAATCTACGACTGAAGAAAGCATAAATGATCTCTGTGATCTTGTATTGGCACACCGCATACCTATTGATTATCTAGGATATTATTGACACTGCAGGAAACTCGCATGAAATAACGCAAAACATCGTAGTCAAACGTCGATTTTCTAGGGTTGCGACTTCATGGATTGCTTTCAGTAGATTGAAT